AAAGTGAAATCGTTGTCATGCGAAATTAAAAAACCCATTGGAATGCATTAAAAACCGGTCAATGCATTCCAATGGGGGAAATACCTGCTTGTTTTGTGAAGATCCTCCATAGGGGAAGCCATTTTCGATCTCTGTCTTCCAGAAATAGGTCCGGAAAACAGTGAGGAGCCATTTTGAAAACCCGATGATCAGCTGTTTCTAATCGTTGTGCAGCGAAAAAATGGTTCCCGAACCAGGGAACGAATCATCGTTAAAGAAAAAATAACCATAGAAACGTTTTATGATCGCTATAGCGATCCCAAAAAACTCATCATTAAGCGATTTTGAAGCGGGGTCATCGTCAAGCAGAGCACCACTGTAGATAAAATACCATCATAAGTCTTTTTCTTTAAAAAACAAAATCTGATCGAGAAAAAAGAACGACAGACATCTAAAAACATAACTGTTAAGTCTTTATGGTTCATTTTTCCACTGTTTAATTATAGTACTTTAAAACGTATCTTCCTTACACATCTGAAGGATTTCAAAAGCAGTAAAATAAATGTAGTGCTGAGTGATTTTGTGAAGTTCTTCCAAAGAACCTATTTAATAAGGTTCCATTATAAAGCTTAATGAGAAAACCTGCACAAATACAGGCATATGAAAATAGGTCATTACAGTCTAAGGAGGAAAAAAAGCATGCAGTGCCGTTTTGAAAAATGAGATGAGGCCTTAGTAAATAACCCACTGAAAGGTTTCATGGACTAGCAGATATTGTCCCTTGATAGACTCCATTTCTAGCAATATAAGACAGGTATATCAGAGAGAACAATTGCAGCTATTAGACAAAGACCTCTCTTCCTGTCGCAGTCCTATTCAAATGTTTAAAATATGAGCCTATCAGAGTAATTAATATTCATCAGTGAAAAGGAGACAGGACTTCTCTCATATATCCTAAAATTATATTCTTTGTGCTAAAAGCAAGCAAGCTTAAGGCAAAGTATATGCTCTGACTCCGAGTGCTGGTAATAAATTGTTTTTATTTTCATTTTATTTTCTGCCTAGCAGTTAATATTTGCTCTACAAAAAGAACTCTAGAAGACCCGTTTACTACATAATGCAAGATGTGCAGAAGGAAAACTGCAAACATTTCTTTGGTCTCAAAGGACTGTTGACAAACAAACAGAAGGGCTACAGTGAAGCTGAAAAATGAGTCACCAAATCTCTTCGAGAAGTGCCATCCTGCCTCCCGTTAGTCTTTTCCCTGCCACTGCGTACAAAATATAACACATCACAGCTTTCAAAAGTGTTAAAAACATAATATTTACATTAAATAAATTATGTTAATCTGTTCATATTTATGCGTAGCAACCCTGCTTTCATTGAAAAGGCTTCAAGAGAAACTCTGGAAAAATGCAATGCCAGCCGCGAGGCTTTGGGGCAGCGATTACTTAAAGAACTAGAGTGGTCAATATGACCAGATAGGCGGGGTATAAATGGAATGAATGAATGAATGAATGAATGAATGAATGAATGAATGAATGAATGAATGAATGAATGAATGAATAAATAAATAAACTTAAAGTGGACAAGAAAAAAAAGAAAAGTTTGAATTACAAAGATGAAAGTATATTTGCAGACCAAGTGCGAACTGGTATCGTCATTTTTCTTTCCTAGTGTATTCACATCTAGTCCATTCTGAACATTCATTCTGTTTACATAAATTTTCTAAGTATTCTTTCCGACAACAATGCTAGGTAGTTCTGGTCCATTCCTTCTCCATTAGCAAAGCATCTCTGTCACAATTCTCAGGGTGCACAATTTTTGACGTAATATACCTTTTGTAGAAACCCTCTTATGTTTTGGGATTTTCTGCACTAAACTTAAATGAAGCTTGTCTTACACAGAGAACTAGGCCATTAAACTGGTTTTAATTCCATTTTCGTTGGATCCATTTTTCTTTGCATCCTCTTTGCAAAATATAATCAGACTACAGTTAATGTATCTGCTGAGAAAGACCTGAATTTACAAACAGAGCAACAAATATGAAAATATCTATTCCAATAAAGCCCTGGGATATTAAATGAGATGTTCATGACATACACACGCATATTACTCTTCATTCGCTAAAGGCACTAAGACAGCAAGTGAAGTAACCTTATCTTCAAACATTGACCAGCGTAGACTTACAAAATGGATTAATCATAAATCAAAATTTTATCTTCAATCCTCATCTGGGGAACAACTTCAAATTCTTCCATGATAGTCTCTCCTCCATTAACTATTAAGCTTTCATTAGACAGATACATGATGTCAGTTGAATATTGTAATCAGTGGAGAAATGACTTAATAGACTATGATTAGTTGCAATATGCAAAGCTGATGAAAACGGTTTTCTTTGGACTCCCAGGTATAGTATAAATGTCTCTCTATTTTTCCCCCTCTGAGACAAATCTAAATTTCTTTATAATATCTGACTATGGTTTAATCCCTTGTCAGCCCATTGCACTGGATAGTCAGAGATATACTGCCTCTCACATACTGGGGCAGTTCCTGAACTGAAATACACATGCCCCATGCACTCACAGGACAGATAGGAAAACCTAGGAACATCTCAGTAAACTGGGGCTGCCCAAACCAGAAACAACATCCTTCTTCTAGCAAGGCCACTCAAAATGGCGGGCAAGGTAGAAAAGCGTTCTGAGCAACCCAACGGATCGTATCCACTGCCGATCTGTGGCTATGGCCAAAAAGGAAGCAATCCTATTCAGCTGCACAGATGAACATAACTTAAGAAGAAGCGTTTTTAATTCCTGTCTATGCCCATGATCTTCCCAGAGATGTGCACACGAATTCTCTGCTCTTCAGCAAAATCTACTCTCCCTGCTCTCAAATCCTCGGGACTTCTTAAATCCTCCAGTTTATATTTAGAGGTTTGGTTGATGACCTCCTGAACAAGAAACAACCATTCATCAGCTGCAGGAAACAGACTAAATGCGCTCATCTAAAATCACAACGCCTCATAGAATGCATTGCTAGGTAAAATCTGAAACTTCCACTCCTGCAGCAAATTACTCCTTGGCTGCAGATTTCAACTGCAAATCTCTCGGTGACAACTTCTGGAAAAACTGTTTGAGGCTCCACCTCCAAGCACTGCTTTTTCTACCACCTAGCTTAATGAAGAGTTCAACAGAACTCAAAAGCCTATACTCTTCTGCACTATATTTTGTACCCCTTGAAAATCACCTTACCACCCTGGACATACTTGATGTTGCCTGATTTCAGAAGCTAAGCACAACTGGGCCAAGTGATTACTCCAAATCCATCCTTGGCCATATTCTCCTGACACAGGAAAAAGGGAAAACATGGTTGATACCCGCTTCTTTCCTGAATATTACATTCCTTCTGTCTGTATAAAATATACAGTACCTTTGCCTGTATCTCCAGAAAAATGTGTCCTGCCTCAACTTCAGATTGCTATACCATCCATTTTATTCAAATGGATGATTTTTTTTAAAATACAAGAATCACCTTTTAGAGAATGGAAGGCAATTCAGATGAAATACAGCAAAGTGATAGCTCATGTAGACTAATTTTCGTTTTTCTCCTCATACTTTGAAAGACATTTACTTCATAGCAGCAACTTCATGGCTGATGTTAGAGCTGTGCACGTATAAAGATCATTTTTGCTGTTCAAGTCTGAAATATAATGACTTTTCCAGTGACTCTGAAATCTGTTTACCACACATTCATAAACATACCACTTTCATAGCTCCACAAAAGACAAATGACAAGGATGATCTACTCAGATCAACAGTCTGATAAATCTTTTCACACTAATGAGGTAGTTTGGGACTATTCAGTGCCAGACATTCTGTGCACAGAATTTAAATGTCTTAGGTAAAGTAGGATAAAAGACTTTCCTCTTTTAATTACAAATGGCTCTTATCAAATTTGATTTTAATAATTTGATCATCACATACAAAGTGTAATCAATGATCAAATATAGCTTTGTACATTGTCACTATTCATGATCACGTATTATAGTTATCATTCACGGTAATTTATTTTTAAAAATCAAGGAAATACCTGGAGTTCTACATAATATGCAATGTGTGGAATAAAGTGAGAAGTAGTCCTGAAAAGCTTATAGTGCAATCAATTAGATAGTTTTCAAGGTCCTACGGGACTCTTCAGTGTTTTTCCTGCAACAGACTTCCAAGCTCATAACTTCATAAACAAAAATATATATCTGAAAAATAGTGAGAAAGAGCACAGAACTGAATTCCCCTCTCACAAAACTAATGAAGGGAACCATTTTGATTGCTCAGAATGCTGTTTCTTTCTTCTAAGTCAGGGGTCTTCGAACTATGGCCTGCAGGCCACATCCGGTTCGGCTTACCTTTTTATCCAGCCTGGCAGGTCCGCAGGCTCAAGTCCGTTCACTTCTTGCTGGCCCGGAAGGGGAAACTGCCAAATGAGGGGAGCGGGGTTTCACTCTGCACTCATGCATGTGGGGGGCAGGTTTCGCTCTATGCCTGTGTGTCCGGGGTCAGGGTTTAACTGCAACTGTGCGTGTATGCGTGCACATTCCTTTGCCCTTCAAAAGTGTCTAAAATATTTGATGTGGCCCTCTTGCTATAAAGTTTGGAGACCCCTGTTCTAAATAATGCCATCAGGGTAGAGCATCATAAAACTGCAAGGTACCTACCAACCCAAAAATAAATTGGGTTGATAAAATTAAGTGAATCATAAAAATTAGGCTGTTTGCAGCAATACCTAATAACTACATGCACTCTTCAGTTTCTGAGCTTCTTGCATGCACAAAGGAACATAAATATACAAAAAACTTTTAAAAAGTCATCATCTTAGCATGTTGAAACAAAGGCAACAAAGAATCTTATGACATCCAATAGACTTCGCACAGATTTTCATGGACTCCATTATATGCAGGTTAAGTAAAAACATAACTGAAAAGGAAGAGGACAAAGTAAAGAATCAGCATTTGTTTTTAAACTTACCGCTGGCATTCTCCAGCATGCAAGACTAGATCTTCATTATTCTTTGCACTAACTGTGAGTTCATGTTCCGTTGAATTGAACACATCAAGGAGCAGATGACACTGACGGGTACTGTTTGAAGAAATTGAAAGAAATAACATTGAGGCCTTAACATTCCAGCAGATTTATGCTACAGAGAGCTGAGTTATGATAATTATGATAACATCATCACTATAACCTCAAAGCGTACTTCTATGTGCATCTAAGAGGAGACTCATTAAGATATGAGACAAATAAGGGGAGCAAAACAGTAAAAACCTCCCTTCATCATCATCACTATGGCAAAACGAAAAGATATTGCCATTCTGTTACAGTTTTATTTCAGTATGAACGTTAATTGAACAAAATCTATGAAATCGCACACTGAAATACAACAGTTTTTTTAATGCTGGAACATTTTGCCTTTTTTGTTTTTTGGGGGGTTTTTTTGGCCAACAAACTAAGATTAACATTCTACTTTTTTGGTAACTCCCATTATCTGTTTTCCAGAAACCCTAAGTTTGACAACATTACTGAAGGCAGGTGCCATGTAAACATTTTCTTAACAGGGTTTTCTACCTTTCAGAGAGGTAAAAGGAAAGAAGGACATGGCATAAGGAGATGCTGCCCCCACCCCTAGAAAGCAGGGACATACTGTATAGCATTACACCATTTAAATGTTAGTTCCTATACAGACAAGAACATTCAAATAAATTCTGTTACAGTTTTATTTCAGTATGAGCTTTAATTGACCAAAATCTATGAAATTGCACACTGAAATACAACAGGTTTTTTTAATGCTGCAACATTTTGCCTTTTTTGTTTTTTGGGGGATGGCAAAACGAAAAGATATTGCCATTCTGTTACAGTTTTATTTCAGTATGAACGTTAATTGAACAAAATCTATGAAATCGCACACTGAAATACAACAGTTTTTTTAATGCTGGAACATTTTGCCTTTTTTGTTTTTTGGGGGGTTTTTTTGGCCAACAAACTAAGATTAACATTCTACTTTTTTGGTAACTCCCATTATCTGTTTTCCAGAAACCCTAAGTTTGACAACATTACTGAAGGCAGGTGCCATGTAAACATTTTCTTAACAGGGTTTTCTACCTTTCAGAGAGGTAAAAGGAAAGAAGGACATGGCATAAGGAGATGCTGCCCCCACCCCTAGAAAGCAGGGACATACTGTATAGCATTACACCATTTAAATGTTAGTTCCTATACAGACAAGAACATTCATCAATGGAAAAACATATAAAACAAACATACAAAATATAAATCCAGGGTAATTAGTTTTGCCCTTCTGCATTCCCAAGGTCAGCTGGGAATGCATTTTTTCGTACATGTAATGCTGGAGTTGTTAAAACCTCAGCTATAGATGTGTAGGGCATAGCATGACCTTTACCATCTTCACTGTGAACTGGCCTTAAATAAACTTTTGTTAGGTGAGCCAAGACGAGATCCGCAAGTTACGTGTTACAGGGTTATTCAGTTAGTCCTTTTTGAGAATGCATGCATCTTAAAAGAATGAAAATCTATCATACTAGTACCATAACTTCTTAAAATCTTCAGTCATCAAAAACATTTTGATGAGCACATGAACATATAAATTATTTACCCTGGGAATAAAGTGGGGATGGGGGGGGCGGAACTCTGAGATAAAAGAAGCCAATGCTATTGCTTTATTCATCAGTAATACTAAAATAGAAACTCATAAAATTTCAGTGAATCAGAGGACTGAAAACTTCACTTTGGAAAGAGGTAGATTTGTTAAGCTTTGGGCACTGAAACAAAAGCTGTCTAGTTCTACCAGTTTCTACCTCCTACCAGGCCAAGGACGTTTCCCTTCACTCTATGGGAAACACAACAAAAGGTGTTTATTTACACAGTATGGCAGCGCAAGAAGCAGCTAAGAAAGATAAATCCTGCATTACCAGTTCTTATTTTACTCCTCACAATCTACTGGGGCTAAAATGCTCTGATCGCATGCAACATTCAAGAGCACTCAAGACTGTCAGGACGGCGGCCTCCATCCCGGAATACTTGCTTCTTTCTAGGACCAAGAGGTTTTCTGCTCACTCATGCAACTGTGCTGTGCACCACCATGCACCACAGACTACCTTGCTGCTTTAGTCATCCTGCCAAGGCTGCCTACGGTTATTTGCCCATTTCCTAATACCTAGTCACTGCTGGCTGTTAGTGTGTACTTTTTTGTTTGGCACAATCGCTGGAAAGGTACCAGAGGACACAAGGAAATCCTTTGAAAATATTTTGCCTATTTGCATTTTTTCCCAAGGGAAAATAATGACTATATAGCGTTCACATGAACTGCAATGGAGTTCTGGATCTCCAGAAATTCGGAATTTTTAAATTCAGTATCTGAACGTCTGTAATTCCAAATTTTGAATCTCAATTTTGTACAGCTCAATGGAATCCTGGGATCCACTGTACCACCTGACAGGAAGGGATAATCCAAGCACTATCAAAGGTCATCAAGTCCCAAGATCATGATACAAATAAGGAAAGGAACTTTAGTGAGGCAAGGTGGTAAAAAGCAATATATCCTGTTTTGGTGTATGATCTTGTCCCCCATATGCTTGCATAAAAGCTTTTGATTTCTTCTTCACTCACATGTCTAGCTTCATGGATTGCTGCCTTGTCGTGGCGAAGGGGCTTGAGTAACTCAGAGAAACTATGGGCTATGCCGTGCAGGGACACCCAAGACGGACAGGACATAGTGGAGAGTTCCGACTAAACGCAACCCACCTGGAGTAGGAAATGGCAAGCCACTCCAGTATCTTTGCCAAGAACGCCCCATGATCAGAAACAAAAAGCTAAAAGATATGACGCTGGAAGATGGGCCCCTCAGGTCGGAAGGCGTCCAACATGCTACTGAGGAAGAGCAGAGGACAAGTACAAGTAGCTCCAGAGCTAATGAAGTGGTTGGGCCAAAGCCGAAAGGACGCTCAGCTGTGGACGTGCCTAGAAGTGAAAAGAAAGAAAGAAAGAAAGAAAGAAAGAAAGAAAGAAAGAAAGAAAGAAAGAAAGAAAGAAAGAAAGAAAGAAAGAAAGAAAGAAAGAAAGAAAGAAAGAAAGAAAGAAAGAAAGAAAAGGCCAAGTATTGCAATGTTTCACCATTCCATTTCCAGTCCATGTTCTAATTGTATGTGTTGTGCAGCATCAGACCTTCCTTTTGGCTCTTTGCAAATAAACAACTAAGTATCCTTTTGGGTTTATTACAGTTACTTTATTAGCATTAGCGCTATTCATACTTGCTTTTTGCTTTTATCAAGTACCTGACTGAGTGACCCAGGAGTCTCATCTTCTAGCACTATCTTTATTTTTGTTTTGGACTGTTCCACCGTAGGTTTAATGAGATATAAAATATTCAGAAATAGTGTACCTTGCCTTCTCAGTATTAACAAGAAATAACTTGAGTGTCACTGCTAATGTCTATGAAAGATCCTCTTTCCGTTTTACCGTCCATTACTGCAGCCCACTGACTACCATCAACACTACTAAAATTATCAATTATCTTCTGCTGATATAGCTATTAATCCTTGAAGAGGATCGAAGAATGTCGTTCTGTGAAGAAATATTTGCCTTATTCATGAAACCAAACAACAAACCTTGTAGCTGGCAGAGTACTGACTCGTGTAAAGAAGACAGAGGGCTCCACCTCCACATGAACTCCCAGAGACAAATTTCTGTAGTAACCATCTCCATGCCCTGGACCTCCTGAGTATTTGAAATTCAAGATGGCTTCCAGGGTCTAAAAAAAAAGGAGAAAAATAAAATTTAAAGAAGTTAAATTATGCTTTCTCTCCTCTTGCAACTTAATAAGCAGCTACTTTCTAAGTCAGTTCATTTCAAATGCAGGTCTCATTCGCTACATATTGCAACATGGCACAACACAGGGAAAGTGTTGCGTTTTGGTAGCATCAGGCAAGCGAAAAAGCAGTTTACCAAGCACCCCAGGTGGCAATGGAGAAGGACCCCCAGATCCATGGGGGAATGATTCCAAGCTCCTCTGCAGATACTGAAAAGTGCAGATTTGTAACAAACACAATACGTAACAGTCTGTTGGAACTAGGACTCCCCTGTAATTTCAATTTTTATCTGGATGGGACCTCTATGAGTAAGAACTGAGTTGAAGTCTTCCCTCATTCATCAACATGCTGAAGATGACCATCTCTCACACACAGAGAAGTGAGAGAAAGCCCCAAGATTCTGTGGGTTTTCTCCTTCGATGACAATTAAGAATACATTTCCTTGCTTTCCCAGATGTACAGAGGAAGGGACTGGCTGGAAGGCAGGAAGGGTGAGAGGTGGGGAACCTTGCGCAGGAGGCAGCCTGGCTTAATATTAACACCCCTCGTCCTGTGTAGCCAGCCAATGGAGCTCTGGATTTTACAACAACACTGGTCTGGAACATAGAAGAAACTGCCTCAAGCTGCCAGGAGACTAGGTGCAATGGCAGCAGCTTACCAATATACAAGTTAGGTCTTATTTTGGGGGAAATAGCATCTGGTTCCCTCCAGTGGCCAGTTCTGATAATTACGTACACCTTGAAAATCTGTACAGTGGTGCCCCAGTTGACGATTACCTCGTTAGATGAGGAAATCGCTTGACGACTAGTTTTTTGCGATCGCTACTGCGATTGCAAAACTATGATTGAATGGGGGTTTTTCATTTGACGATGATCGGTTCCCTGCTTCGGGAACCGATTTTTCGATTAACAACGACCAAAACAACTGATTGTCAGGTTTTCAAAATGGCCGCCCGCTGTGCAAAATGGCTCCCCGCTGTGTTTTAGGATGGATTCCTCACATTACAGGCACCGGAATATGGCCGGCCTATGGAGGATCTTCGCTGGACGCTGAGGTATTTCGCCCATTGGAACACATTGAGCGGTTTTCAATGCATTTTAATGGGCTTTTTACTTTCGCTTGACGACGATTTCATTCTACAGTGATTTTTCTGGAACGGATTATCCTCGTCAAGCGAGGCACCACTGTACTGTACTTCTAGTTTTTTCCATGTAATATTTTTAACATCTGTATTTTCAAACTGTGGGTAAGTGAATCAGTGGATACTGATCCTGTGGATAAGGGGGTCCTACTGTACTTGTTCAACAGCATTCAGCCGACTAAGTCAGAAGTTGTACTATACTGTTGTAAAAAATAAAAATATTTCAATTATCCGAAGGAAGACTACTTCTTCTTCTTCTTCTTCTTCTTCTTCTTCTTCTTGTTGTTGTTTTGGTATTCGCAAAGGATTTCACAACCGGGATCAGATGGTTGTTGTGGTTTTTTTGGACTATTTGGCTGTGTTCTGAAGATTGTTCGTCCTGATGTTTCGCCAGCATCTTCAGAGGACAGGAGTCAGAACTCTGTCTGTGCTCTGTGCTTTTTCTCTCTCTCTCTATCTGAAACATACTGATATATTTTGTGGTAATATCTTTTTTTAATCATTTAAGCACATGCTTTCCAGTCTCTATATTCCCTTATATGATTAGGGTGAATTTTCTCTAGGAAGCCTATTCTGTCATCCACCAATGGCTATGTTGGTTGAGATTGTTGGGAAATAAATAACTGTCTGGTCGTAATCTGCCCTGGGAACTGCTAATTGATTGATTGAAAATATTTTTACCCTTCCTTTCTCCTTAAAAAGGACTCAAGGCAGTTTAAAAAGACAATATCAAAAAGAGTTAGTATACAAATATGTAAAAGGAAAGGCGTTTATATCCAAAAAGGGGAAATAAAATCAATACTAAAAACAAATTTAAAAGGAACAAAGTAAAAACCTATCTCAGAAAGACAGTCACTAAAGGAAAACCTGTCTGAAGATAAGGTTGTTTAGATAGCTTAGAGCCAAGAAACTGATCTGAATACTGGTGACCTTGAACCCTAAAACTCCAGACCTCTTTCAATGGTCCTATGGATCTAATAGTAAGGTACAGAGAAACAGCATTGGCTATCTCGAAGGATAATACAAGTTCTGTACCCAAGTCCCTTTCACGGAAGATGAAAAGAACAGGAAACACACCACCAGTTGACCCATAAAAAGGAAGTGTTCAGATATTTAAAAAATAAAAATGAATCATTTTAGTCTTTACCAGCAGTTCATGGAAATAAAATTTCATAAAAATTGATATTTAAAAAAAACATAAAATGTACTCAAGATGTTTCAGAGAGCAGTGACTACCTGTAGGGATGCAAATTTATTACAAAGTTTTGATGATCTAACTGTGCAATATCCATTCACCTGATCGTAGCCTTCCCAGCTAGAAACCCATTTGCAGTACCAAAGTATTTCTCAAGTATAATAAATCTAAAGAAACATGTTTAATTTGATGCATGGCATGTCCAGTTAACAATATGAGCACAAACTCCACAAGTTAATGACTTTGGGGGTAACACAGCAAATATTATATCCTTAATTGTAGAGTCTGAATCCAAAACATAATGATGATTACCCTTATTAACAACTATTCTCTAATTAGGTCAATCAGGTCCATTCAAAGAAAAGAGTAGGTAATGCCTTTATCAGACCATTAAAAAAAATCACAAGTGACCTGAAATGACGCTTTGAACTTTCCTACGCTTTTCGGCGCCACTCACAACACAATGGTGCCCAGCCTGATAATGACTCTTAGGGGTCAAAAGCTAGATGTATGTGTGTCAGAGAGGTTTTTTTAAGTCTTATGAAATCAAAGGGGTCACGAACTGCATGGGGAAACTTTTGAAAAAAACACAACCTACAAACAGTATTCAAGCCCACCACAAAAATACAACAAATGTTACGGTCAGCAAAGGACAGAAGGGACACCCTCACCACTGCAGGGGTATACCAGATACCTTGCAATTGTAGCCAGGTATATATTAGAACCAGAATCAAAGAACACGAGAGACACTGCAGACTAAAACAACCGGGAAAATAGGCAGTAGCTGAACATTCCCTAAACAAGCTGGACATGAAATTCTATTTCAAAATACAGTACAGGACAACACCAACAATCAATATGTTAGACTGCACAGGGAAGCCATTGAAATCCACAAACACCAGCAGAGCTTCAACAAAAAAGAAAAAAGTTTAGAACAAAGCCTGGCTCCCAGCACTGAAAAATACAGCCTGCAAAAGATCAACAAAGGACCAGTGATCACTGCACACAAAAGAACAGCTAACAACACCCATCAATCACAGTGACAGATTATGTCTCCTCCTTATCACAACAATATACCCACAGCAAAAAACACTCTGATCACCATAATCACCCAATCTCCTGAAAAGGACAAAAAACTGATCCCACAGCTATAAATACTCAACTATCCCAGAAACCACACCAGAGCACAGGCAGAGTTCTGACTAATTTCCTCTGAAGATGCCGGCTACAGAGACTGGCAAAACGTTAGGAAGACCAACCTTCAGAACACAGACAAAGAGCCCAAAAACCCCACAAAAAACATCTTATGAAATCATTTTTTATTATTTTTTCTCTTTTAAAATGTTTTTAATTTTATTTAAAATAAAACACTACAAGAGAGACAAGCTAAAAACCCTCTACAACAAAGAAAAACACAAACAAGCAAAAAGGAAATACCACCCTATGGACTAAAATAGACCCTCCCCCCTTTGGAGTGAGAGACTTCCGAATCGTTTGGCTCACGGATTTCTCCAGCTGGTTCATAGTGAGAACTGAGAAGATAGATGATCAGGTTCGCCCTAAACTCTTGTCTTTTCCTGGGCCCAAAAATATATTAGTTTCCAGCTAATATGGTTGTTCTCACAATGCTTCTGAAAGTGTATCAAGTTCTGCTATATCCCATAACTTCTTTATCAACTCTTCTGTTATTGGTGTTTCTTCACTTTTCCATTTTTGGGCCCAGAGTAGTCTGGCTGATGTGAGTATATACATTAGAAAATATTTTATTTTCTTATCAGTAATTTCGGGCATAATATTCAATAATACTATTTCAGGTTTTATATCTAATTTTTGTTGAATAATTTCTTTTACTACAGTATTTCCCACACCTGTGTCCAATATCTTTTGACTTTTTCACATGACCACCACATATGATAATAAGTCCCTTTGGTTTGTTTTACTCTTCCAACAAATACTGCTGTTACCCTCTGATATTTTTGCTATCTTACAAGTGTATAATGCCATCTATAAAACATTTTGAGGATATTTTCCCTAAGGTTTACTGGCTTAATCATCTTATGACATTCTTTCCACATCTTAGTCCAATCATCAATACCAATACTATGACCGATTTTTTTTTTTTTGCCCTTTTTACCATCATCTCCTTCACCCTCTCATCCTCCATGTCATACTCTAATAAGTATGTATACATTTTTTATCATTTTCTCATCAGAATACATCCACAGTTTATCCACCTGGATTTTTTAAAATATAAAAATATAACTTCACCCTCAAAGAAACCCATGATTTTATCTTTTTCGTATCTTGATTCTAGTTTCAACACTGACCACCAATCAGAGGCCACACCAAATTCCCCTAGCTCTTGCTTATCCTTTATATTCTGTTCTTTAGCAAGCAATTCTTTATATGTGGTTAACACTCCTTTCCGATTCAACACTTTCAACGTAAACGCCTCAACAGGAACTACCCCTCTTTCACCTACATTTCCATAATCCTCTACCATTGTAGACCATACTTGATAATGTACCAAAAGTTCAACCCCCTGCATTGAGCCCTTACAGG